GATATAATTAAGACCTACCAAGAAAGATTTTAATTTTCTTGTTAAATATTTTTCGTCGAATTTAATTTTGACAATTTCGGAATTGAACAAATTATGTAAGATAGCTCGTGTTACTGCACATTGGTTCTTTGTAGGTTGTCGGCCAAATACTTTTTTGGCAACCATTTGAAAATATGTTTTATTCTCTTCTTCAATAATTGTGTCCAAGTTTTTGAAACACCATTGTACCTCTTTACTTGATTTCCAAGAAGTTATTTCGGCTTCAGAACTTTCTGAATTAACAAAGAGCGAAATCTTATTTTTAAAAACATTCTCAAACACAGCATGATGAAAAGATTCGAATAAAGCTTCACGGTACTTGCATGATTCCACACTAATCTATATTTAAATATTAATATGTAATATAATCGTGAAGCTCATATACTAAATTATTATTCTTTACCAAATTTTCAATCTTGCTATACAATCCTTCCCATCTGGAAATTTTTTTATACTGTTCTATTTTATCAGGGCAAAATTCTTCAAGCTCTTTATGAATGGATTCTTCATAAATTCTTTCATTGGAATAAAGCCAATTATCTATAGAGAACTTTATATCTTGTGTCGCTCCTTTCTACAAAATTTTTTTTTTATTTCTTTTGAATTAAACTGATTCATTGCATAAATCTCATAGCTATATACCTTATTACAATTAATAAAGTGTTAAATAAGTAATTAGTATAATTTAAAAAAGAATTAAAAAAAAAATAATTATATACCTGCCACTATTCGTAACTATTGTCATTTGCCTTCGACTTTAAATTTTCTTGTGAAGATTGTAAAGCCTTAATGTCTCTAACAAGGTGTATAACTGTAGACTCTAGAGCTTCTTGTTTCTCCATAATAGAAGTGTTTTGCGTTAATATTTTGTTAGTCATTTCTAATAATGCATTTATAGTTTTGCTTTCTTCGTCTAAGAATAATTAATTTAATAGTTAGTAACCGTATTTATAGTCTATAATAAAGTATATATCTATATATCTAAAACTAACTGCGATAAGTATCAACAGACAACTTTTTTGACATATTGGTTAAGGTGGAGATCTAGATGGGCTTTCAGTAATTTCATAAGAAGCCAATGTAGAATGAAAGGAGCTTTGAAAATTATTATCGACATCAATATTATCGACATCATTATTATCAACATTCTCAACGTTATTTTTTTTGAACTGGTGTGATACTTTATTCTTTTGGGAATATTGGCTAGTAAGTCCACTTGTATTTTGTTGTTTTTTCATAGCAGAAGTTGAAGAGCCAGCTTTTAATGCATCTAATACCTAAAAAAAAAAAATAAAAAAAAATAAGTCTAAAAATTTTTACAAAAGTTCGAAAGTTTAGTATTCATTAGTTACCAAGGTCACTTCATTCTGTTCTGTACCAAGTCCTTATTTTCTACTTTTAGGAGGCATAGTAATAATATAAAAAAGAAAGAGTTCTTAGAAAGTAATAATACGTATAGAGTTTCTTGAAGAGTTAAAGTTGTCAATCACTACCTTTATAAGGGGAAAAATGTGATAAGCGATCGATCTAATTAATAATTATGTACGTATGATATATTTATTTAATAAATTAATATGGAAATTGAAATTGATTATTTGTATACAACAGGAGGAACTGTCAATATTACACAACTGATTTTACACATGGTGTAAAACATATAAAAAAAGACTGATCAAGTACTATAAAATAATTTTTTTATGTATTTTATACTGTGTGTAAAATTAGTTATATAATATCGACGGTTCCTCATATAGATAAATAAATATAATTATAATATTATAATATTTCAAATACTTAGAAGAAGGTATCATTGGTTACAATTAGAAAAAGTATGAATATATATATTATTACAAAATTTTGATATTAAACTTAGCTTTGAGCAAATGGTAGTTGCTGTTCTAATACATATACATTACTTCATTTATGAAGTTTAATATATAATTACGTAATTCGTTTTCTATATAATTCAATAATTTATAATTAATTTTCAAAGTTTATTACAAATCTATTCTAACCTTTCTCATATTTATGTGCAGTATTTGTAAAAATAGATTTGAGTGTTTAATGAGCCTCATAAATCATAAGAAAATTCATAGAAAGTATTATCAAGTTGAAGATAAAACTGATACTAGCTTTTCCACCAATATAGATGAAAGTACGGATAATGATATTTCTAATGAACCAGATATCATAAGCAAACAAAATAATAAAAAGAATATTATTGTCAATTGCAATTCAATATATAAGAATCAAGATAGTGCTAATAAGTCATATCCAGTATTTGATGCACAAAAAATTAAGTTGGATCTTACATGCGATGATCAAGAGACCACTGATGAATCTGATTCAATGTTTGATGATCAAGAGACTATTAATGAATCTGATTCAATAGTCGAAAATAGAGAGAATATCAATAAATCTGATTTAATATTAAATAACCAAGAGACTTCCAATGAAACTAATTCAATATTTGATAATTACAAGACTAAAAATGAATTGAATTCAATATTTGATAATGAGTTTGTTCCAATGTTTAATGAGTAGAAGATTGTTGATAAGTGTGACCCAATATTCAATGATTATGAGATTGCTAACGTGTTTAGTGAAGAGAATGCTAATGATTTAAACGAAATATTTGAAGAGGATATATTAGAAGATTCTAAGGAGACCGAGGATGAACTCTGGAGCAATGATAGTAAACACGATAATATAGACTTCTCTAATGTTGTATATCGGGATTTTATAGATATAGAAAGTATTATATTTTTTATTCTTTTGGATATTAGATATTTAGTATCTAAACAATTTTATTACCAATATTAGGTAACCCAATATCAACTTTCTTATATAGCAGGTGATGCAATATTGAAATTTATGAAAAAATATGGTCAGATTCCAAAGAAAATTTTTCCTTGATCAACTAAGGAAAGTCTTCATTTCTTGGATACTTTAAAGAAAAATCGTGTAAAATTTTCTTCCACTCCTGTTGCACAAGTAAGGAATCAAACGTATTCGTTTAAGCACCGGCCAATTATTTTAGCTATTAAAAAAATTCTTCAAGATCAAGAAATTGCAATGAACTGCATTTTCAATTATCAGAAGATTTATATATCAGTAGAGGCAGTGTCTGAAATTGGGTTGTGGAGTCTGCAGGCCAAAGCAAATTTTAAATTCCCGCAGCCAAAATCTGAAGTGCACATGCAAATTCTGCATATAAATTTGCAAAATTTATCTTTAAATGTTCATATGCATAATAAATTTTTATAAATTTTTATAATCCGCAAGTCGTTTTTTTTAATTGGTTGCAGCCTGCAACTAATTTAAAAATTGAATTTCAAACACTGAGTAGAGGTAAGTAAAATTTTTAAAATAATACATATTTTACATATTAGTTATTAATTTGGATAATATTTTTATAATGTGTGGTTGTTATTTCTTATTGCATAATATTCGAAATCTATATAAAAAAAAATTTATAACAGATTAATAATATACACTACTACGAATAAATTAAAGTTGAACTATATTGTATAAAGGAGCCGCCAGAAATTAGCTGATTTCCTAGGGGGGGGGGGGTTTCTTGCTTAGTCAGGTTACTATATATCCTTTATTCTAATTGGCTAATACAACATATTATTTATATACT